ACGCGCGATTAGTCAATATATTACTATTAGCAAATATATGCGTACCGTAATCTCCCGTACCGGCCTGAATATCTAGACACTCCCGCGTAGATTGAGCCCATGAGCGAGAGCGCCATCTGTCGTGGAGTTTGCATATCGTCGTGTAAATTCCGGTTTCATGTCTCGGATTGATTTAGTTGGCCGTCAGAGAGGTAGTCCTCTGCGTCGTGTAGTTTACTTTGACGTTCTTGTTCTCTCAAAACATGGCCAGGCTCCTCCTGAATATATAACTGTAAGTACATGTACGTCTTCGCGATGAAACATGCGAAAGGAGTTCTGTCTTTACTGTATCTAGGATACCTGACATACCTCGCCTTGTATCTTCCACTGGCAGCAAGAACAAGCCCGCACGTACAGCACACACGCGGCCATTGACTATAATATTAATAACAACTTTTGTTATTATAGTCATTTATTATAGTTGTTATTTTTTTGTTATTTATAGTTATTATTATATAGTTATCAGTTATTATAGTTGTTATTATAGTCGCGTGTTGCGTAGTAGTTGTTGTTATTATAGCCGCGTGTGTGCTGTACGTGCGGGCTTGTTCTTGCTGCCAGTGGTATCTATTGCGTGCACGCTCGCGGGTAGATTATGCGTCTAGGAGGTTACGTAAGAAAAACAAGTTGTAGGCCTACGTGTTGCTATTAGTATTGCAGTATTAGTTTTAGTTTTAGCCACGTATCGCGGAGCGATTCTGTGCCTAACCATATTCGTTTGCAGTTGGAATATAAACTGCGCAGCCATTTGGCCCATTACCATTGAAGTGTACATGCTTGCTAAGAAATGTCGAGTAACTAGAACAAGTTTAAGCAAGAGCACTAGGGTACCATAAGGTCACACCGCGGAGACATCCGTACGCACTGTACTACTACTAATGCTGAGAGGGTCTATGCCCCCCGGGGTACTGCCGGAACGTACCCTGGGTACGGTCTGGTATACCGGAACGTACCCTGGTACTATCTAATATGCCGGACCGTACCTCGCCTACTCTACTAACGAGTCTAGGGAGTCGCCTACGCCTACTCCCTAACCCTAACCCGAAACCGAGCCCTAACCCTAACCCTAACCCTAATCCTTACCCTAACCATGCATATCAAATAGTGACCAGGGTACATTCCGGTATACCGTACCGTACCCAGGGTACGTTCCGGCAGTACCCTGGGGGACATAGACTCTATGAGCACTACTAAATTTGGCCAGACTCACAGACAAGGCGATTCGGGAAAAACAACACGCAAAATGTCGTCAAATGCATTTTCACAAAGCTTTGCAGTTTGATTCAATCGAGTCTGTATTCTGTCTTCTAGATACTATTACAGGCTACAGAGTGCAGAGACATGCATGGTTATATGCATGTTCTTTATTTGTTATCGTCAAGAAAACCACTAACAGGCAATATATTATGGATGTTGCATCTGGATAATTACTATAATTTAATGCCGATAAACTGGATTTAGTCATTCAGTGAATGTACATGTACATATGATGTAGACTGCTGCATGTGTGGTACATCAAACTGTACCACTCAAGTATTGCATGTGAGCTCCCTTAGATCGTTGGGAAAATATATTATTCCCTTAGATCGTTGGGAAAATATATTATTCACACATTACAAATATACACACGCCACACAGTTTTTGGAACACATTTTGGAATAATTCGTGTTAAGTTAATGTACTGTAATCGTATCTGTACTTCTAATAATTTATTCACCCTACAATGCATTACTACTTTATGTTTGTAGTAGCCGGTACATGATTCAAACATAGTTAGTAGAGC